TTAAATTCACAGGGTTTTGATATACAAAAAAATACAGAGAGAACCTACATAATTTCCTTGAAATGCCATGGCAATCCAGGCCTAAATTGAATTATTATGCTAACTAAAATGTTGACATATTTAAAGTAAACAGAAAATGTTTTAATGACTATACAAGGAAACATTTACATCATATTTAAATAGATGGAAATGAGAAAAATGAGAGAGAAATGTTCAAAGATCTATGTACCTTTTCATCAGGCTCTTTATCCAAAAATTAAACAGAAATAAATGAAATATCTTATTTGGATATAATTTAGGGATTCCTTTAAGCAGAAATTGTAGAATGTTAAGTATCAGCTGTTGTGAGCTTGAAGAAGTAAAATCTTGATTTGTTAGACAAATGGTTTTTTTCTGCTTGGCAAAGGGTGATCAGCCACATAGTTTATAAAGTAGCAAAGAAAGAGCCATGCTGCTGAGAGCGAACCATTAGAGTGAAGCATGAAGTGCAGACTCGGAGCTCCGCGCGCAAAGACGCATTTCTGCACAAGCACAGAGGAAAGGTCAGAGCTGAGTTTGTCAGAGTTGTGCTTGCAGTACCGAACTAATCCGGGTTATTTCTTTAGACTCTGTCGCTGTTTCTATGATACATCTGTGCTCCTGCAGAAAGTGCAATGCTGTGCGGCAGGATCAAACCAGATTCAACTGCACGGCTGATAGTGCTTAGCAGATTACAGCACAATGATGCATTTTAAACGTCTGACTATTGACCCACTAATTTTCATTTACTCTCGTTGATAAAATCTATAACCTATGACTAGTCATGTTTTAGTCATCAAATATCCCTGTTTAGGACATCAGTTTTTGTTATCGTCATGAAAAAAAGGGCCGTAAACGAAATGATTTCTTCATCCTCATCGTTGACGAAAATAAGGACATTCCACCATCCTGTGACCATACGCTTCCCCTTCAAATCTGAAATAGTCTATGCATTTGTTGTCAAACAAATCAGAAGATGTGCCCCTCTCTTTGAATTTGATCTGTCTTTCTCTAGAAGAAGAGGCAACTGGAGAGAATGAAATGGAGATACATAGGGCATCAGACTGATTGATTGACTTTATTGATCTCACTGTGGATAAATTTTCTTCTTGGCTAGATAGTCAAAAAGAATAGGGTGAAAAGGAGGAAAAGATCTATTGGGGTATATGGAGATCCAGATGGTGTGATGTGTGATGGCCCCAGAGTACTCAAAACCTGCGCAGGAAAGCTCTGGGGGATTTTACAGCACCATCCCTACCTTTGCCTGACCCAGGAGGTGGTTCCAGTGCTGTGAAAGAATTCCTGCCTTGTTCCAGTACCAAAGAAAACTCAACCATCAGTCCTCAATGATCATAGACCTGCTGTCTTGACAACCCACACCATAAAGGTCTTTGAGAGACTTGTGCATGACCACTTGAGCAAGCAAAAAACTGGCTATCAGTACCCCACTGGTTTGCTCAACGCTGTGAAGATGGAGTTGAAATGCCATCACCTGCCTAAATAAACGACTGACAAATCGACAAGGCAGACAACACTGTGAGGATCGTGTTCAATGATTTCTCCAGTGCCTTTAACAAGAGCATGATTTACTTAAATCAAGAAGAGTCAAGTAGAGGCATCAACAGTGGCATGGATTAAAGATTACCTCACATACAGACCTCAGTTTATGAACTTGAAGGGGGTAACTGTCTAACCAGGTAGTCAACAACACCGGTGCACCAGAGGGAACAGTACTCTCACCATTCTGTTGTACTCTGTTGAGCTCTGACCTACAGTACAAGATAGAGTTCTGTTATATGCAGAAATACTTGAATAACTCTTCAATCACTGGGTGAATTAGAGATGTAAAAGAGGCTGAGGACAGGGAGCTATGGACTCATTTTGTGGCATGGTATGGGAAAATCTTTTCCTGGATGTGAACAAAGCAAGAGAGTTGATGGTAGATTTTAGAGGAGGAACAAGTCAAATACTATTGACATCATAAGACATTAAGTGAAGGTACTGGAGGGGTACACATACCCTGGTGTTCACCTGGAAAATAAACTTAACTTGAAACCCAACTGTGAAGCCATTTACAATAAGGGACAGTTTAGACCAGACTTACTTAGTATTTACTATAAGATGCTTCATATTGCTTTGTTATGGAGAGTGTGATCTATTCTGCCATAATCTGCTGGGGTAAAATCATCAGAGAATTACTGACAACCTTGACCATCCTCTTCATCAGACTGTTAAATAAGAACTGTAACTTTGGTAAGAGGCTTATCCAGATCATATGTAAGACAGAATTCTACAGGAGATATTTGCTGCTTACAGCTATCAACATATATAACAACTTATTAAAACAATCAGGTAAAGTTTCCTTTGAAATTTTTTTTTTAATAATTTGAATTGATGATGAGCTTGATGACTTTACTTCTGATAGCAAACATCATGGCCTTTATCTTAAGAGATTTCAAGACTCAGATGAAGTATACCATAAGAATACTGTTTAAGACAGTCAGCACCCAATCATATTAGTTACCATTTTTTGCATGGCAAAAAACCTTCAAAGCCTTTAGCATAAAACTCTACAAGCATCAGTAATTATTATTTTCGCCCGAGTAAATGGAACTTCTGTGGCACAACTTTAGTGGTGTTTATGAAATCTGATAGCAGATCACTGTGTTGCAAACACTGCTTAATATTTGATAATCTGCAACTCTTTGCATTGTTTGATAAACCAATATGTAATAGCTTTTAGTGAGGGATAGTTTAATCAACTGTGCAAAATGCTTGACATGTCAAAGGAAAGAGCAACACAGTAGTAAATAGCATCAAATGCTTCAGTGATGTTATTTAAAACTTTTTTAATTGCTTTAACTGTACTGTGTTGTTTATCTAAAACCAGTGTACATTTGAAATATTAATTCTAATACAAGAAAAAGGTTTTCTTTTGAGAGGGTTTATCACGTGAGGAAGTGAGAAGTTGGCCATTAACAACAAAACTTTTAAAAAACTTTATCTTCCAGGGGTATGAATAAATTTTGGCTTAATAGTACCTTTCAAATACTTTTTCCTAAAATATATTCTGAGAACCACTGATGCAGAGGAAAAAGTTAGCAAATAGATGTGGCACCCGAGAGGTGCGATCATCTTTAAAAAAAACATAAAAACCAAACAGACTGCGGCGATTGTGAGCAGGGCCTTAAAAAGTTTAATAGATTAAAAGTTCAATAATTTACGTAAAAAGACGAGCTCGCTAAAAGTGTTCAATAAAATACGTTAAAAGGAAAAAGATAAAAAAAAAAGATAGATAAAAGAGAAAAGATTAAAAAGAAAGATAAAAATCCAGATGGTGGAGAGCAGCAGAGTCAATGGGGAAGTCTGTTAAAAGACGCGCACTTGGCGGGTATAATGGAGGGCACCGTCCACCCCAGCGCTGGGTCCTCGTTTCGGCACGCTGCGCGTGTGGGCCTCTCCAGCGTAGCTGGCCTGCGAGGTCTCCTCCAACACGCGCCTCTCGCCAGCGTGCCTCTGCGCCTCGCTCCATGACGGGCCTCTCTGCATCCCGCTCCGGTGAGCGTCTCTCCGGCGTGCGTCCTTGCACCTTGCTCCGGTGCGCGTCCCTGCACCTCGCTCGCTCCGGTGCGCGTCTCTCCGGCGCGCTCCTCTCCGGTGCGCGTCTCTCTGTCCGGTGCGCGTCTCTCTGTCCGGTGCGCGTCTCTCTGTCCGGTGCGCGTCTCTCTCTCCGGCGCGCTCCTCTCCGGCGCGCTCCTCTCCGGCGCGCGTCTCCCTCTCCGGTGCGCGTCTCTCTCTCCGGTGCGCGTCTCTCTCTCCGGTGCGCGTCCCTCTCTCCGGTGCGCGTCGCTCCGGCGGGCCTCCTGCCGTCAGTCCCCAAGGCTCTCCCGCTGCTTCCCTCTCACTCGCTCCGTCCGGCTCCCTCCAAGATCGGCCTTCCCCAACCAAACCTTCCCATGTCCGGTGTCTGTCCCTCCAACCAAGCAGCTGCCTTTTTTAAATCAGCGTCCCAGTCGGCACGCTGCTTAGTTGATTGGGAACACCTGTGCCGTTGTGGGCGTGTCCAGGTGTGTGTGGCAATGTGGCCTCCAAACAAAATCCAAAAAAACATGCAACACACAAAATTGAAAACAAGCAAACAAGTTCAAAAATAAAGAAAATCCAAAATTAGAAAACATGCAACAACTTAACAAAAAGGCCACATTACCACATAGACCAAACACGTCTTCCTGCCTCTGCAGAAATTCTTGGATGAAAAAAATCTAAAGTACACCCCTAGAAATAAGCCCCTTGTTGCATTTCTCTCACAAACAGACAGAAAAAGTTACTATATGTCAAATCTAATTATTACTCTGCAGCCAAGACCAGAATTTAGAATCTGAGCTTTGGCTCTGACACTGCATGCCACCTGCACTGACTGCAAGCTGCGCACGCATGGCACGCTGACATGCAGTTAAGAGTCATTGATCTACATGCACGCACCAAAAGCAATGCTACAAAATGTTGTTCTCCGTGCTAAGACGCACCAGGCAGCGGGGTGACACTCACATGTGGATCCACAGACGCTGGTGTTGCGCCTCCGTTTTGCTTGAAGAAGCAGAAAGAGGCGATATGAGGGAGAAATGAAAAAGAGGGGTAAAAAGAAGGCAGGACAACGAGGGAGGGGATGGATGGATGGATGGATGGATGGATGGATGGGAAAATGCGGAGGGAAAGGAGCGAGAGAGCTGAGTGGTTCTGGTAAATATTTATATTTGTATGATAATACAGAGAGGGAGACTGAGAAAGGTGGGGAGATAGTGAGAGCGTCCCATCCCTTTATTAATTTTATTCCGGACCGCTAAGTTTAGCATTCAACACGTGTCGCCTCAGATGGAGAGGCAGGGAGGGAGTAAGGGGGAGGAGGGGAGAGATACAGGGGAGAGAGGGAGGTTGACGGTTGCTAGGTGACGGGGCGCATATACTGAATTTTAACAAAAGAAGAGGGAAAGAGGGAGAGCTAGAGAGAGTGCGTGAGAGAGAGGAGAGAGGGAGCGAGAGAGGTGAAGAGAGAGATCAGGAGAAATTGAATACATGTAGAACACATATATTTATACAGATATATATTTTCACAGCGTGCGTGTCTGTGTGCGTGTGCGCGCGCGTGTGTGGCGGCGGCGGTGTTTGTGGCGAGGGACACCCGCAAAACGGATACCTCAAAAAGCAAGGATGTGAAAAAGGATGGAGGGACGCAGGAAGAGAGGGGGGAAAGGCTGGTGAAATTCAGTAAGTAGATTTTTGTTTGATTTGGTTCATATTTGCAGTGCGCATTTTTTATCCAAACACGCACACAGACTCTCCGCTGCTGCTGCTTGGGATTAATTGCGGCTTGGGCAGTGAGAGGATGCTGCGCGTCATTGACATGGAATAGATGAGCAGACGGATGTCAGCGTCCGTGTGTAGGGACGCTGGTGATGGAGAGAAGGAGGTCGGAAGCAGCCGGCTCGCCGGGGCTTTGACCCCTCTGTCATTGCTGCGCCCGAAAAACTCACGGGCGCAGATGGGATAGAGGCTCATGCACACAGTTTACCGGCAGTTCAATTAGTCATGCAAGGACCTTGAGGCTGCACCGACCCAGTCTTTCGGGGAATGTTTGGAAATAAAGACAGAGTTTAAGAGGGAAATAGGCAACAGTTTTCAGGTTTTACTTTGCTGCGGATGTTTTAATTGATGTTCATTTTCTCTTCATTCTTGCTTGTTGCGCTAATGTGTGTTTCGTTAAGAAAAAAAAAAAACATCATGATATTATGACCAGTTTTTCCTGCTTCCTATCTATTTATATCCCGAATATTTGTATGTATGGCGGCCAATGGTTATCCCCTCTGTTGCCACCTAAGAATCTTCAGACATCTGGAACCGACGCAGTTTTACTTATTTATTTATTTTGTTAACGAGTGTGTGTGTCTCTTTGAGATAAAGATCTTAATTAATTTGGTTGTCCATGATAAGTTTTGATTGCCAGACAGTAATTTGAATTTGTTTTCTGGTATAAAACAGAGGAGGGGTGGCCTTGGACTGTAAAGACCACCAAGGGAGAACATGATTATGTTGACCTGTAAAATGGAGAGGCACAATGTTTGCTACTCTCTCAGATTTACTGCAGTGCTTCAGAATGATAATGTCAAATTTATGGGCCTGCACTGGGAGGCCATTTGATCTAGTTGTAATTGAAATAAATATGTTTCTATTCCCTTCCTTATTTCTGTCTGAATTGCATTATCTGCTTTACTCCCAGATGATCTATTCACTTCATCATTTCCCTCTACAAGCCCCCCTCTTTTGAAATGTGTGCGCACATGCAGGCATACTGCAGTAGTGCACTGCATGCACTGCTGCCCCTGAAGTGCTGCCTTCAGTGTCCCCTTCCTTGCTGAACGGTCACCCAGAGATCTGTACTGTACCAGCTGTTGTAAGAAGAGGTGGTGGGAATGGAGGTGAGAATAGAAAATCAGTCAGATGGTGTGAGGATAACGAGGACTTGGATGGAAGGCATGCAGAGGGTGGCAAAGTAAAGATGGCTTGAACTGGGTCTCAAAGGGATACACCTGGAAAGAGAGATATGAGGAAGAGAGGAACATTTGTGAGCTTGTTTTCTCCAACTCTATGCTCCTCATCAATTTCATCTCATTGATTCTCTGACTTCAGTCCAGAAAAGCCTCGAGTTCATAGCCCAATCCACTCCACTTCCTCTTATTTCCTTGTTCCTGCTTTTTCTGGCCCAAGTCTTTTATATCTTCTCCCCAGCCCCAACCTGTGACTTCCTCTGCACCGTTTTATTCTCCCGCCTCCTCCCCCTTTCATCGTAGGTTTGATGCAACATCAGTGGGTTGTTTCCTCAATCCGCATCAGCCCACCCAGACCCCCTCTTTTCCATTCCTCACCCTCTCCACATGTGCCACACAGTGTTCTTTTAATACCACTAATTAAGGTAAAGCTCGTTAACATAGAACATCAATTAGCCTTTAACAAGATCAGAGGCGTCTGTTTTGGAGCGATTACAATACTTTCTTCTCCCAGGGTGCATCTCTGGACTCTTCTGCAGACTGTTGGAACTATGGAGTTCTTAGTGAAGAGTTGTGTGACAAGAATGTATTTCAGCAATTATTTCCCCGCAGTTAGCTTGGAAGACACAGCAACAGATGTCAAACATTTTAACTACAAACCTTTTATTTCCTCTGATACCATCTCTCACTTGAACTCATTAAATAAATCTGCATCATTTTGGAAAAGACTGCCCTCCTTTGAAAGCAGCTTGGGACACAGATTGGCAGACAGTTATCCATGACTAAGTCTATATTGAAGCTAGCACTTTTGTTACCCAAACATGCTGAGTGTGTCCAGTTAACCCTTTCAACAATGCTTAGATAGTCATTGCAGTCCAACATGTTAAATTAAATAGTGAATACCTGATATTCATAAGATCTAGGCAGAGAGCCTTCTAAGAAAGAACTGTGTATGTGCAGTCTTGCAGTTAAAACTCAGATAATTAGTTTACCAGATATCCACAGTTCGGTAGCGTCTTTCATGTCAGCTTTTCCCTGGTTCATCATTTTTACCTTAACCTAAATGCGTGGTTATTACAACTAACACCATGATTTGTCTGGTCTAAAAACCTGTAGCAGAAACAATTACGGTAAAATGAATGATTATTCAAATGAAAGAGGCAAACAATGACACAAAAGAATACAATTAAAGTTACTGATACAATGCTTAGAAAATATAAATTATAAAAGATATTACATGAAATGAGTGACGAGGTTGGTTTATTTTTTTTTTCTTTTACATCATACATCATAACCTAAAGCAATAAAATTAAGAACTTAATTAACTAAATGCTGATTAAAGATATGTTTTAAAGCCCTATTCAAAATGACTAACATGAGAATCATTATTCTACTACACACATTACTCAGATGTCAAGTTGAATCGACCTTTTTCTTAATATTCTGAGCTTAAATTACTTGATCTATAGTTCTACTGCTATTAAATCATTAAGCATGTTAATATTCAGAGTTAAAACAGCCCTGCTCTATAAAGCTACTGTAAAAGCTATTATATGCAGATATTTATTTAGTTTTCATCTCATGGCTGTCCCTAATAATTGCGAATGGAAATATTTTGATAAAAAAATTAATTGCTTTTTTTTTCAGTGACTTAAAGTTATACTCTTTAGACCATCTGACTGACAGTGTGCAGCAGCTGGTGGTAGAAAAGTGCCACAATCTGTCCTATATTCTGCTAATAACTTTCACTTTCTCTATCATGTCTTTTAACAGTTCTAAAATGGTTGAAATGGTAAGTAAAGGAGCATGTTCAGTAGTTTTTGGACATTTGTTGGTATCTTGATGATGACACAGAACTAATATTAATCTCAAGTTCAGGGCTGTCTGCTGTCCTGCTAAGGGGTTTAATTGTGACTGAATTGTAGACATACTGAAGGGATGGGTTTAAAATCACAGGTACTTTTTGTTAATTCTGAAATTCTAATGATTGTTTTTATGTTGCATTTAGTGCACCCTTAAGAGCAAAATAAGAATATACATTTATATGGAAAAAATGTTTTATTGCTGTTCTGTTGACATTATTTAGATACCCAGTTGAAATTGAAATTTAGTTTGCAATTAGTTTTTATTGTGCAGAATGAGGACATAGTAGCCTGACAGTGGTCATAATTTTTGGGATGATGATTTCTTATAGTTCATTGAAGGAATTGACGCCAATATATGAGATATATATATAAAAAAAAATAATAATTTTTACAGTCTTCATACAGTGAGCATTCATTTAATACAGTTGCTGAAGTTTTTTCTTAAAATGAAGACACATTAATTATGGGGTTCACATTTTAAATGTTATTAGGGTTCTTTATGGTTGACACAGTTGCCATTACCATAATGCACACTCTCAGTTGTTCTGTATTTCTTTTTTAAATGAAGATCTCTACCCTTAAGGTATTCCAGCATTTTCAAATCCAGAACTTTTCATGACATTTAGATCCCTGGATTGTATTTGGCCATCCTGTTATCTACCTAGGGTCTTGCTCTCACACATCCTAATAGATAACAGATTTGTTGTCTCAAATATTTGTCTTTGGAAATATCTCAAACAGTACTCCTTTGTTTTCAAACAACACCTATGGTTAAGAGTGTTGTTGTCATCACGACCTGTCAGACCTTAAATGTGTTGTGTTTATTGATGGAAAAAAGATTTTCAGATTTTCCAATTCAACAGCCACCAGCAGGTTACCAATACTTAAAATTCAACCTATTCTGCTCATACGCTAGTTTCTAATGGATCTCTGATTATCATGTGTTAAAAAAAAAAAAAAAAAAAACTCCAAAAAACAGGTAGGTTATTGATCTCCTGACGGATATTGATGTGTCAAAATAGCATCAGCAAAGTAATTTAAAACAAAACAGCTAGAAGAAAAATAATAAAAGTACATTTTCTGCTGCTTTTTCAACCTTCATGTTGTTACAGAACCTGTTCTCTGGACATATTTACTGAACCTGCTTCTAGTTTCAAATTAGTTTTCAAGCAAAATGTGTCAAACAACAGTCCAGTGATCAGATATAGATGTTTGTCTTTATTTGAGCATTTGCTAAAACAAACAAATCTAAAAAATTGACATTTTAACATAAACTGAAATGAAATGATGAGAGCTCCTTAACAAACAGGTGGAGATAGACAGGACAGGTAATTGGAGGATCTGGCAGATAGACTGATAAACAGAATAAAACAGAAAGGTAAAATCAAACACAAAACTATGGGACAATTTAGCAAGCAGTCCTTACCCACACTTACAATCAAACAGGTGCATGCTCAAACACACACTGACACACAGACACAAATCCACACGCACAAACCTGAGCCAAAGCCCTGTGGCGCGTTTGGGGAATACAAGTCTGGAAGCAGCTAGAAGGCATGCAGCTTCACATGGCTGCATGCAACAGACAGTCACACAAACTCATAGAATGTACTTTCAGGGGAGAGCCCCATGGGTATGAAAAGAAGCACAAGTACTAACGCAACAAGAGCGAGATATGCACAAACAAAGACTACTTCACAGAAATACACACAAGTCACCATTTTGGATGAGAGACGACCCTGGGACTGTCCCAATGGGAGTCACTCTCACACACTGTATTCACAGTACACATTCATACTGCAACGACACTGACATATGCAAGCACAAGAGGGAAATCAGAATTCAGAGAAGCAAGGAA